CACACATAACACACACACACAACACAGAGACGCACACATACACACATACAGACTGTATGTATGTGTGCCTGTGTGTGTCTCTGTATGTATGTCTCTGTGTGTGTGTCTGTATCTATATGTGTGTATGTATGTGTCTGTGTGTCTGTATGTATGTGTTTCTGTTTCTTGGGTGGTGGTGGTGCATGTGTGTGTGTGTTTATATGTATCTGTCTGTGTGTATGTGTCTCTGTATGTGTGTATGTATGTATGTGTCTGGGGGGAGGGCCCTCTGGAGGAGGAGAGGACACACAGATCAGTTTCGCATTGGGGCCCCATGGATTGTGTGTACGTCACTGCATACTGCATACAATACACACACTGTTTCACGTGGATGTACGTGAGGTTTGGGGGGGCAGCAATTTTTATACTTTGACCCAGGCAGAACAATGTCTTGGACCGGTCCTGTATCCATTGCTGCACGAGATTAGTTACAGTGCTGGGCGGCAACTATAGTAAATCAGCTGATGCCTTTCAGCTGAGAAATTAGCTAAATTAAATTAGCATCGTGTGTCACTTGGAAGTCTTAAGCCATGCATAATAATAAACTCTATATTCATAATAATATTTCGCTCTATATTAACCCCTTAAGGACTGAGCCAATTGTACAAGTTGTAATCAAAATAAAACATAAACAAAACCTTTAAATTTTCTTTATATGTGGTTCAACCATAATTCACCTCTTTCATATTAAGTGTACCCACACTTATTATATATAATTTTGTTCAGGAGAAACAGGGCTTTCATTTCACAATAAATATTTATAAATGAAACAATTTAATATGAATACAATTTTAAAAAGTGTTAGAAATTAACATTTTTATGAGCCATAATACTGTTGGATTTTACTGCAATAAAATACACATATTTATATTCCGAAATGTCTCACAAGTACGATGGTACCCTCCATGTACAGGTTTTATGGGATTTTGGAAATTTACAGGGTTCAAATGTAGGGCTTTCCCCTTTTCCATGTTTGCACATTAAAGTTTGCCAGATTGGTTTGCTGGGCCTATTTTGCCTTTAAGACCGTACGGAAGCCCAGGAATGAAAATTAACCCCATCATGGCATAGCATTTGTAAAAGTAGACAACCCAAGCTATTCAAAATGGGGTATGTCCAGTATTTTTTAGTAGCAACTTAGTCACAAACGCTGGTCAAAATTAATGTTCATATTAGCACACATGCCACTTAGCAAAACTGCATTTTAGGAAGGTGGCTTCACCAGCTTCGGTGCCACCCACCCCTACGCATGCGCGCACCATCCCCCCACACAGACATACACAACCCACAAACATGTATGAAGACCATGACACAGAGATACATGCATTGGCACATACACAGTGACACTCAGATACACACTTAAACATACATTCAGATACACATGCAGTAGCAGCTCACTCCAGCCTCTACTCTGCCCCCATGCTGCCTATACAGCTGCTGCCTCCTACCTCCAGTCCTCCTGTGCACCTGTCTCTGAAGCAGGGAGGAAGTGACAGACTGTCATCACTTTCTCCTTGCCGGCTGATTCTGTGGTTGGCTTTTAAAGGGCCGGCACCCCATCAGATCTGCTTAGTGATTGGCTTTTAAAGGGCTTGCACCCTACCAGATTTGCTTAGTGAGTATTAGGAGGGGGGACACAAACCATGTGTAGTATCCGGGAAAACCAATACATACAATCTGATATAAATTGCTTGTCAGATTGTGTGTGTGATTTCCGGAGTATTATACATGGTGTGTGGGTGTCAGGGAGCCGCATGCAAAATGAAGGAGTCTCCCAGAACTACATGGATATCTGTATTAGTTTTTCTGCATTTTTCACAAACTGCTTTTTCACCAATTATATCATCAACATTATACATTTTACTACTCTAAAACACTCATATTTGTATTCAGAGAGTATAACAGTACCCCCATGTTCAGGTTTGATGGTGTTTTTGAAAGTTACAGGGTAAAATATAGAGCTTGCCAATTACATTATTTTGACTATCTGCAAATCCCTCAAATTATAATTAATAAAAGCACGTAATGATGTAAAATGAATAGTTAAATTAGTTATTATGAATAGTTAAAGAAAAAACAGTGTGTGTGTGTGTGTGAGTCAGGGTGCTATGAGTATCAGGGTTGCAGTGTGTGTGAGTAAGGGTGCTGTGAGTGTCAACGTGCAGTGTGTGTGGGGGTGCTGTGAGTGTCAGGAGTGCAGTGTGTGTGTGAGGGTTCTGTGAGTATCAGGCATAGACGTGCGCACTGGGTGTGCCCTAATCCCCACGGCACGCACTATGTGCCTCCCTCCGTGGGCAGGTAAAGGAGATCAAAGATCTCCCTCACCAACCAACAGGCAGGGAGGGAGGCAGGAGAGGACCTGGGGAGCTCTTGTCAGCATCTCCGCCGGGTTCCTCTTGCGGGTCGGACCACCAGGGAAGACAGGAGCACGGCCCCCCCTCCCTACATAAGGTAAGAAGGGAGGGGGGATATTAACTAAATGGCCGCCACACCCCCAAACATAACACACAAACATACAGCACACACACATACATCACCCTTACACACACAGCACACACACTAAAAGCACCCTCACACTAACAACACCCTTACACACACACACACACACAGCACACACTAAGCACCCTCACACGCACACAGTAACAGTACCCTTACACACACAGCACCCTCACACATACACACACACACACACACAGCACACACTAACAGCACCCTTACACACACAGCACCTTCACACACACAGCGGCTTCACACACAGCACCCACAGACAGCACCCTCACACACACAGCAGTGTGTGTGTATGTATGTGTATGTGTATGTATATATATATATATATATATATATACGCAGCGTGTGTGTTTCTGCTTCAGGGTGCACACCCTTATACAATAGGCTGCGCACGCCTATGGTATGAGGGGTGCAGTGTGTGTGAGAGTGAGGGTGCTGTGAGTGTCAGGGGTGCAGTGTGTGTGTGAGTGAGTCAGGGGTGCTGTGTGTGTGTGTGTGTGTGAGTGAGGGTGCTGTGAGTGTCAGGGGTGCAGTGTGTGTGAGTGAGAGTGAGGGTGCTGTGAGTGTCAGGGCTGCAGTGTGTGTGAGTGAGGGTGCTGTGAGTGTCAGGGGTGCAGTGTGTGTGAGTGAGGGTGCTGTGAGTGTCAGGGGTGCAGTGTGTGTGTGTGTGTGTGTGAGGCTGATGTGAGTGCCAGGGTGCAGTGTGTGTGAGTGAGGGTGCTGTGAGTATCAGGGGTGCAGTGTGTGTGTGTGAGTGAGGGTGCTGTGAGTATCAGGGGTGCAGTGTGTGTGTGTGTGAGTGAGTGTGCTGTAAGTGTGTGTGTGTGTATTGTGAGTGTCAACATGCAGTGTGATTATACCCCCCCCTTCTTACCTTTAGTCTGGGAGGGGGGACCATGCTCCCATCCCTGGCGGTGCTAGTGGTGAGTAAACTCTAGCCTGTGGGGCTAGAGTTCACTCTTGCGAGACCCAGAGGGTTGCCATGGCAACTCTCCGAATCTCGCGAGAGGAACCCGGCGGAGCTGCAAGTTAGAGCTTCTCCGGGCTCCACTCCTGTCTCCTTTCCTCTCTTCCCGCAATACACTCCCCACCGGCCCATCATGGAATGCAGCAGGGCCGGCGCTCGGATACTGTGATCTCCCCTGCCATCCTCGGCCCATGGCCACCGCGGCCCACCGGGCATGTGTCCGATGCCCAGTCCGGGCCTGCTTCCCCCAACCCCACTCCCTCCGCTGCTCTATGCTCAGTCGTACCCACTACAGCTGAAAAATGTTCTGCTCTGCTCCTGTACTCCCTCCCCAAAACCTGTTCCCTCGATCCTATTCCCTCATATCTCACCTGCACTCTGTCTCCCTCTCTTGCTTTCCCTATCACTAACATTTTCAATCTCTCCCTTTCCTCTGGCACATTTCTTTCACTCTTCAAACATGCAACCGTACTCCAATTCTAAAAAAAGCTCTGTTTTGACCCCAACACCCCACCCAGCTACCAGCCTATCTCGCTACTGCCATTTGCTTCCAAGATCCCTGAGAGAGTTGTGTATGCGAGATTGACAGACTTCCTCAAATGCAGCTCTCTGCTTCAAGTCAATGGAGCTACCAATACCTCTACCTCACAGGCTCGCTGCCTAGGTGTTCTCATCTTCCTATCTGCCTGCACCTCCCATGCCCCCTCCTCTTCCAGTAAGATATAAGGCTCAATTTAAGATTCTGGTGCTTGCTTACAAGTCCCTACATAATGCTGTTCCAACCTACCTAAAACACAACTATGTCCAGTCTAGGCCCCTGCACTCAACCGAAGACCTACGTCTATCCCTTGTCCATACTCCCACCTCTGTCCATACATTTTGAAAACTTCTCCAGGGCTGCACCTTTTCATGTGGAACTCACTTCACGTCTCCATTAGACTTTTACCTAGTTGCCATACCTTCAAAAAAATCATTAAAAAAATCACTTCTTCAGGAAAGCATATCAATTAAACTAGCTTTTCATCCCCACACCCTGAGTCCTCTCCTGTAACTGTCAAAAATAATGTATTAAGGGGGGGCGGGGCCTGACCGCCAAGCTCGCTGGTCCCAAACAAGAGCAGCTCCTGCAAAACAAAGACAATTAAGCTGAAAAACCATGTCTAATCCCGGTCAAACCGACCACCAGCAACAGTACCCAGAGCACAGGGACTGCTGGACCTTGGGAGAGGCTGACTCATTGAGCTTCAGTCCCCGGGAGGAGATAGCCTTACTTCCACAAGCAGGGCCTTCTCCGGCGGTGAGTGGGGCGGACGGCCGCTGCCCCACTATCCTGCACCACAGTACCCAGCTTGAGGCACAAATCAAGGTGGATCCGGACCCGTTCCCCCCCCCCCCTTGGACCGGTGGGGGTGATCCCGGTCCTCACCCTGTGGCCCTACTTAAGAGAACACAAATGGAGCCGGGGGACCCGAGAGTGGCCTCCAAGATGGCGGGCGCCATGTGCATGGGAGGCAGGAAGAAGACCTGCACCATCTTCGTGCTCGCGGTAGACAACGGGGCTCCAACACCCCAACCCTGCAACAGAGAGGGGCGGACTAACCACCACCTACCCCCGCACCCACACATGCCGAAGTCGAGCGGCACAAGCAACCCCAGCAAGCGGATCATGGCGACCACACTAGGGGGAAGGGACGTTGCGCCACTACCACTCCCGCCTGGGAAATCAATGCCTGCAACAAAGCGAGCTACCTCCGCACGAGGACCCACCTCACACTCACCTGCCACCCAGCCCGCATCACCGCGACACAGACAACGACAAACTCAGGTGACCAAACCCGAGCTACCAGTCAGGCCTGACACCATCCCCCCCAGAAGACCAACAGAAGCAAGTTTCATAACCACCCTGAAGCCAGCCTTCCCCACAGAGAAAACCCGGGTAACCCCTCCGATACACCAGGGGGCCAGAACTCTTATAGCGACCTACTTAAGTCACACGAGCAAATTATCTAGCATTCTGTTTTATGTGGTAACCCTATATACACGTAGTTTACACGGCACTTACAAGCACACACTCACAGACATCGCTGCCCTAAAAGCAACGCACAAACCAGCACACAGCATCCACACAGCAGCATATCCATGATGCCAAACATACTTAATCAAGTGAGAACCTGTATGACTGTAACACTGACCTAGTTGTGCACTGACAGCTTTGATTTGAGGCTGCTACACGAGACTGTATGTATATCTCTCAATAATACATAGACCAACGACCGACCTAGCCAATTATGCAAACAGAGTGCAATTCATGTTTTAAAGCTACCGTCTCATGCCTAACTAATACTTGCTATATGACTCAAGCTGGATTGCCTTTCGTTAAAAAGTGTGTTCACATTATTGTTTCACAACAAGTCACCTACACAAAAACCATCAGCTTAAGTGTGAATAACTACGTTATATGGATATCTGACCTAGCATGTCTACTACAAACTGCTAAAGTCTCAGCCTGTGATCTTTCTGCTATATATAAATAATGTGCTGTTTACATTGCCACACTTTGTGATGCCATGAAAATGCCTGCAGATGCTGTCGTCAGGGGAGGGCTGGCAGCCTTAGGCCTGGGGGGCAAATCCAGTCAAGTGGCCCATTGCACCAAGAGGAGAGTAAAAACACCTTTCACATGTGATTGAAAGTGTGTGTGTGTGGCGGGTGGGAGGGCGAGTCATCTAAACAGACACTCAATGACAGGCACACACACACACACTTGCTGATTTTGCACACACTAAAAAAGACACACTCACTGACAGGCACACACACAGAAATACACACTGTTACAGGCATACTGACTCAGACAAACATACTGACACACACACACAGGCATACAGACAAATTGGCACACACACAGAGACATACTTGCACACACATAGACATACTGACACACACAGACATACAGAAAGACACACTGTTACAGGCATACTGACTCAGACAGACAGACATACTGACACACACACACACACACACACAGGCATACTGGCTGACACACACTGACAGACATTCTTGCACACACACAGACCGACATACTTGCACACACACAGACAGACATACCTGCACACACACACACACAGACAGACATACCTGCACACACACAGACAGACATACTGGCACACACACAGACAGACATACTGGCACACAAACAGACAGACATACTGACGCACACACAGACATACTGACGCACACAGACATACTCAAACACACACATACACTCAAACTTTACACTTTTAAAACCAGTAGACAGGGGCTGAGTAAGGGGACAGGGCTGTAATGGGGGGACAGGGGTGGTAGTGGAGGGTATAAGCTGTAATTGGGGGTTTAGGAAATGTAGGTGGGGATAGGGGCTGAAGCAGGTTGATGACTACAATTTGGGAAAGGGGCTGTGGTGTGGGTGGTATGGATTGCAATTGGGGGAGAGGAGCTGTAGTGGGGATCTTATGAGGCTGTGGTGGGGGGCATGGGGCTGAGGAAGGGAGCAAGGGCTGAGAGGGGGGAAAAGAGCAGGGAGGATAGGGGCTGAGGAGACATAGGGGCTGAGGAAGGAGGATAGGGGCTGAGGAAGGGGAGGAGGAGGGGAGACAGGGGCTGACTAAAGGGACAGGGCTGAAGGACAGGGCGGGACAAGGGCTGACTAAGGGGAAAGGGACTGAGGTAGGGGACAGAGTGGAAGGGTGACAGGGGTTGAGGTAGGAGACAGGGATTGAGGAGGGGACAGGGGCTGATGGAGGGGGGGCAGGGGCTGACAGGTTCTGACTGAGGGGGGACAGGGGCTGGCGAGGGGGACAGGGCTGAGGAGGGGATTAAAAAAAAAAAAAACTAAAGTGTGTTTCCCCCCTCCCTGAGTCTTACTTTAGGCCAGGGAGGGGTGGGCAGCAACCAGCAGGAGTAGCAACCAGCAAACAGCAGTAGCCAGTGAAGTTGGCCTCTTCTGATGATGTCAGGAGGAGGGGGCGTGACTTCCTCTGCTCTTTTACCAGACTGCCCAGCGGTCCTGTGAGAAGAGCAGTGAAAGTCACGCTCCCTCCTCCTGACATCATCAGGAAGGGCGGCTGACTCCACTGACTGCAGGCTGCAGGGAGAGTGAGGTAAGTTGAAAAATCTGAGTCCTCAGCCAGAGGCAGGGGATTCAGATTTTTCCTTTTTTTGCTGGGTGCAGGCGGCCCTGGGTTTAGGGTGGCCTGGGGGGCAATTGCCTCCCTGCCCCCCTTCCCAGCCCGCCCCTGGCTGTCGTGGCTCTGCTTGCATATTAACTCATGCACAAATAAAATAAAGAATAAAAAAATAAATAATAATAATAATGTATTAAGCCCTCAAGGAATACTTTTCTAGGAACCTACTTCTTTACTTACCTACTTTTACCATTGTGCCACTCTACCCCACTCCTTCTAGCATGTAAGCTCATTGAGTAGGGCCCTCAACATCCTCTGTTCCTGTTCATCCAACATGTCTGGTTACAATTATATGTCTGTTAGCCCATCCATTGTACAGCGCTGCAGAAACTGATGGCGCTATGTAAATAATAAAATAATACTACAATTTTTTTATTTTATTTTTACCATTAGTACAAGTAGTTTGTCCAACGTTTTGCACCATTCTCATATTGTTACATTCTGTACTGTGTTGTGTCTGTTGAGGATCTGGGTCTGTTGAGGGAAAGTATGGCTAGAAGGTTGGAAGAGTCTTTAAACTAGTAGTAAGGGGAGGGACACATATCTACAAAAAAAGGTATAACAGAAAGGAGATAGGCTTTAGCTCAGGGCAAGGAGGGTGGAGATGAGGCAAGGTAAGCTCAGAACAGAGGAAGTGTGTAATACAATTTTGCACAGTAGTGGCTCATGGCAATATTAAATGTTTGCTTACGAATGCAAGGAGCCTAAATAACAAAACTGGGGAACTGCTGGCAATAACATATTCTAATCAATATGACATAATAGGCGTAATGGGAAGGTGGTGGGATGAAACACATGACTGGGCAGTTAACTGGTTACACATTGTTTAGATATCTGCTTGGGACAAAAGAGTGGAAATCAATTAATGGTTGGATTGTAAACCAGCTAATATTGATATTGATGAGAAAGAACAGCTGTTAAGGCAAACTGGGAAAGTTGCACATCTGGTGTCACTTTAATTATTGGAGATTTTAATTACCAGATATACATTAAAGCAGTGTTTCCCAACCCAGTCCTCAAGGCACACCTACCAGTCCAGGATTTAGGGAATACAGGGTGTGTCTAAGGTGTTTTTACAAAGAAGAAAAAAAACACCTTAGACACAACTGGGTAATCCCTAAATCCTGGACTGGTAGGTGTGCCTTGAGGACTGGATTGGGAAACACTGCATTAAAGGACCACTATAGTGGCAGGAAAACATACTCGTTTTCCTGGCACTATAGTGCCCTGAGGGTGCCACCACCCTCAGGGTCCGCCTCCCGCTGGCCTGGATGGCGAGGAAAGGGGTTAAACTTACCTTTATTCCAGCGCCGGACGGGGAGCTCTCCTCCTCCGATCCTCCTCTTCGGCTGAATGCGCATGTGCGGCAAGAGCTGCGCGCGCATTCAGCCGGTCTCATAGGAAAGCATTTACAATGCTTTCCTATGGACGCTTGCATGTTCTCACTGTGATTTTCACAGTGAGAAGCACGCAAGCGCCTCTAGCGGTTGTCAATGAGACAGCCACTAGAGGATTTGGAGGCTGGATTAACCCTATTATAAACATAGCAGTATCTCTGAAACTGCTATGTTTATTAAAAAAATGGGTTAATCCTAGAGGGACCTGGCACCCAGACCACTTCATTAAGCTGAAGTGGTCTGGGTGCCTAGAGTGGTCCTTTAAGATAGAGATACTAGTAGTCCAGCTGGGGGATTGAGTTTTGAACCTGTTAAATGACACCTTCATTTCACAGCTGGTAGAAGCACCAACTAGGGAAAAAAAAAAGTTTTAAGGTAGATGAATTTGAGTAAAAAAAATGAAATTGTAGTTTCAGTGAAATCAGAGAAGGATGTGTTAGTAAATACTGTACAGGGGGTACTAATGAAATATCTCTGTACACAAATATAAGTGGCTTCAAGCAGTAAAAACAAAATGGCGATTTTTGTGTAAAATATGCAAAAAACAAATATGAACACTAACTTTGGCAAGGGTTTGTGACTAAGTGGCTACTAAATGAGACTGGACATACTACATTTTGAATACACCGGTTGTCTACTTTTGAAAATGGTATGCCATGATGGGGGTACTTTCCATTACCAGGCTGGGATACGATCTGAAATGCAACATAGGCCCAGAAATACAATCGGGCAAATTTTAATGTGTATAAACTGAAAAGAAGAAGCCCTATCTTTGTTTTGTAACTTTACAAAACCTCAGAAAATCTGTATATGAGGGGTACTGTTGTAGTTGTAACACAACGTGAATCACAAATATGAGTGTTTTATAGCAGTAAAATATATAAGGAGGATAACCTCAGTGAAAGTTCAGTTTTTGTGTGACAAATACAAAAAACAAACATGACCACTAAGTTTGGCCAGGGTTTGTGAGTAAGTGGCTACTAAAAAGACTGGACTCCATTTTAAATACCCTTGGTTGTCTACTTTTGTGCCTTGATGGGAGTGCTATATGGACCCATGTTGGGCCCAGCAAACCAATCTGGCAAAATTCAATGTGTAAAAATGAAAATTGACAAACTGTATATTTGACCCTTAAACTTTCCAAAACACCATTAAACCTGTACATATGGGGTATTTTTTGTACTTGTGGGACATAACAGCATATGCATTTTATTGCAATAAAAGCTGAGTGTATTATGACATTCACTGTTAAAATGCCATACAGAACTTGGAAAAAAATAATAATTTCACACTTTTTAAAATTTTATTAATATTAAGTTATGTTTTGTATAGAACTATGTGATGTGAAATAAAAGCTCTATTTTTTCTGAACACAATGATATGTAATAAAAGTGGGTGCACTTAATATAAAATAGTTAAATTATGCTTGAACATAGCTCGTATAAAATATTTCTCATAAAATAATTAAAAAAAAAATTTTTTTTTAAAACACAGCGGTACATATTACAGAATAATATGCCAAACTA